CCACTGTTACTCAAAGCAGGCACCATACCTTCTAAGGTAGAGGAAGTCAATCAGTTGATTTTTCAAAGAGATGGGATCCTGGATGAATTGATGACTAATCTGGTCAAGGCACAAAATCTCATGAAGCAGTATGCTGATAAGCATAGGAAAGTACTGGAATTGGAAGTGGGAGATTGGGTTTTCCTCAAGTTGCAGCCCTACAAGTTGAAATCTATAGCTACAAGGCCTTATGCTAAACTATCTCCTAAGTTCTATGGTCCCTACCAAGTCCTTAAAAAGATAGGAACTGTGGCATATCAACTGGATCTACCTAAGCATGCTAGGATACACTTTGTATTCCATATGTCTTTACTAAAGAAGGCCATTAAACCTCACCAACAGTCCCAACCACTACCTCCTATGTTGACTGAAGAACTAGAGTTAGTAGTCTGGCCAGAGGACATCATGGATAGCAAGGAAGATGAGCATGGAAGTGTTGAAGTATTGGTCAAGTGGCAGAATCTACCTCAACATGACTCAACTTGGGAACTTATTACTACTTTGCAAGAAAACTTTCCTAGTTTCAAACTTGAGGACAAGTTAAGAAGTTTAGGGGGGAATATTGATAGGATTAATGATAGAATTAAGGCTAAAGCTAATCAGAAGATTAGCCACGTGTACAAGAGAGGAAAAAGAGGAGTGTGGAAGTTAAATAACTGATTCTAACTAACTGTTGGCAGTTAGAGTTAGTTAGGCAGTTAGATGGCAGGTTAGGCAGCTTTAATAGCAACAGTTAGAATGAGAAGGGTGGGAATTTTGTAAACATACTGATTGTGGAATCAGTGAGGTTTGGATCGTGGGATCCTTGATGTAAACACTTGTAATATTCTTCTTCTCTATCAATAAAATCATTTCTCTAGAGCCCTGCCAAGAATCATACTGATTCTGGGACTTCCTATTCTTTACGTTTTCTGTATTAATACTTACTTACATAGATACTAGTGTCTATCAATATATAATAATAATAATAATCCTTTCAATCATTTTGGAAGCATGTTCGTAGTAATCAAAACCTTTCAATTTTAGTTCCAGGATCATGTGACATTTAAATATGTGTTAGGGTTGTTAGGTGTTGGAAATAACCTTGATTGCACTTCTATTAAAGTACTATGGACTGTGATGCCAAGCATAACTCTATTCATAGTCCGTTATTGACTTTAGCATAGATTAAGAAGAAGAATTCTATCCCTTAAAATTCTACTCCAATTCTATCCCACCTTTTATTATACCCTTAAACTGGTTCTCAGTACTTCTCGATTGATTGTTCTCCATCCTGGGATTCCTGGAATTGTGCATGCCATTTAAGCAATTAAAGTGCATTGATGGATGCTGTATGTCACAAAGCAAAGAGAATCTAATCTTTACATGTCTAGTTTTGTTATCCTCACTTTCATTAATTCTCTTTTAATTTTGAGGGCGAGACGCAACACAATTGTAAGGTTTGTTGCCTCATGACCTGGGAGCCATTGCTTCAAATTCCGAAAACAATCTTTCTACTCGTAGTGATAAGGTTGCGAATTGCGATGCATTTACCTTCCCCATAACACCGGTAGGTGGGAGCGTTGTGTAAGACTCCCTTTTACTTGTAAAATCTGTCTTTCTCTTGTCCTCAGTTAGAGTTAGTTTGCCAAAGCATTTACTTTGCCAATACAATGGTTTTGGGGTCTGCTTGTTTTTTTATTACTTATTTCCTCAATTGTAGTCTGTATTTTTCTTCTTTCTGGATGGAAAGTTGGCTATAATCTCACATCACACATATATAAGGAAATAATCCAAGCTTCAAAGCAAGCAAACATCCTGAGACAAAGCCTTAATATTTATTGAATACTTGAAGTTGTTACATTGTTTTAAATTGTGGTTGTTGTCGAGATTGTGGTCATCCCAGTGTGAATTCTTTTGTAATTAAAAAACATTTTTGAATTTGACGTGGTTTGATGTGGTCCGATGTGGCTGCATCACTGTGTTTCGATGTTACATCATAATTGCGATATAATGCAGTTATGACAATCACCATAACCACAATATTATGGTCACATGCCCACATCAGGTGATGCAGTTTCCGATTCGAAACAATTGTATGGTAATAAATAGTGTGGTTATATACAGGTGTGGAATCATATGACATTGATTTGAAGGAACAGAAGGTGGTAGTAAAAGGAAATGTGGAGCCAGACACAGTTCTGAAGACTGTTTCCAAAACAGGGAAAAAGACTGCATTCTGGGAAAGCTGAAAACACAGCAACTGTTGCCTAAAACATTTGGTTCTATTTCTATGTTTGAGGATTTGGTATGTGAATCAAATACTACTTGATGGATTTGCAATAACTGTAGAACATGTCATTTGGTGTATTTAGTGTGTTATTACTATTATCTAAGATACTATAATGTTTGGTGTACACTACTATTTTTCATAAATACTCAATTTGTTTGCTTGTGGAGTTGTATGAATAAGTTTTATTTATAGACATTGATTTTTACACATTTTAATATAGTAGACATGAAAATGTCATGTTTGAGGAGTAGTTTCATTAAACACGATATGATTATAAATGAATGTATTAGGAAGAAAGTTATAATATCTCATATTGTAGAAAAGATGATAGAATCATGTCTTTGATGGTTTGGACATGTGTAAATTCGATTGTTAGAAACATTTGTAAATGGAGTGGATCAAATAGAAGTTAGTATAATTCCTAAAGGAAGAAATAAATTAAAAATATCATAGGCTTAGGAAAGATTTAGATATGAATGATTTCTTGATGAACATTTTTATGATAGATGATTATGGTGTCATTTCATCCAAGTTGACTTTACATAGTGAGGTTAAAGGTTGATTGTTGTGTTATCGAAATTAATTATATAGGATTAAATTTTTATTAGGATTAAGTTTTGTAAAGTAATGTGAATATTTTAAAAGTTGTTTTATATTAAGCCTTGAACAATTAGATTTTTTTTGGTACTATCAAGGGTATTATCAATTTTTTTTTGATAAGGAACTAATCCATTTTGGGGTGTGTGGTTATCCCTCCTAATAAATGTTATTCTCAAAAATCGAATATTTGACATTTTGAATATCCTGGAAATCTAGTGGAGCCCTAAGTAGTTAGATTTGGAAAACTGGCAGTTTTAAATTACATTTTTTTTAGTTCATGAACTATTATACAATTTGTATATGGATTATAAATAATCCTCTCACTTTTTTGTGTTCCTAAGGTTTATTTCATCCAAGAGAGGAGGAATGAGTAACATCATGCTTAAATGACTAAATTATCTATCAGTTTTTGTAATCTTTCTTGTTAAATAATTCTCAATTTAAAAAGAAACAAAAGAAATTGACAAAACATTTGTAACATGGTAACATATATTGAATAAATCAATAAGAGGTTGGTGTAGTGATATAAGATTTGTTAGATATCTAGAATGATAAAAAATCTAGGATTTAATTTTTGAGAGTGACATTTGTTGCGATAGACATTCATGCACTCAAAATAGATTAATTTCTTATTTAAAATGTGAAAGCATACCTTGATAGTGCCGAAAAAATATTGAATAATAAAGTTTTATTAATAGACCATAACAATTGAGGGTGACTTTAAAAATTAGAGTAAATTACATTGACACCCCTGAGTTTTAGTGAAATTACACAAACTACTCCTTCATTTTTTACACCTACAAAAAACCTCATATTTTATATATATATATATATTATACTAATCACCCCTGCAGGGAAAAATGTGTAATTTTTTTAAATAAAAAATGATGATAAGTATAATTAAGTTAAACAAAATATTATATATTTTAAAGACAAATCGAAATAGTATACGAGTGAATATATTTTCATTAATTTTGGTTTATTACAAAATGCATCAATAATTCTAAGGATATATTATTTAAATCATTTTTATACCATATTATAACGAACAAAAAATAATGAAAATGTATTGACTCATATACTATTGGATTTGTTTCCACGGTATAACATATTATCTTTAACTTAATTACACTTATCATCATTTTTTAAATAAAAAAATTAAACTTATTTATCATGCAAAAGTGATTAGTGATGTATATTTATAATTATGGGTTTTTTGTAGGTGTAAAAGATAGAATGGTGATTTGTATAATTTCACTAAAACTCAGAGAATGTTAGTATAATTTACTCTAAAAATTAATATAGTCAGTATATTTAACATTTAAGTGAAAATATTATATAGCTCGTAACACAATTGTATGTATCTACTCCACACCTAGAGAAATAGAAAGAAAAAAAAACTTTAGTACCTTGCATGTTAAGGCAGAACTATTAAGCTTGTTTCCTTAGTGTGTTTTTTTTTCCATTTTTTTAATTGGCTACTATAGGAAAACAATATAGGTTACCCAATACAAAAAATTATCTGGCTATTATTTCATGCATTACATATTTATGTGCTATAAAACTAATGCTCCAAGCCAAACTAATTGATTTTATTAAAAGAATAATAACTTTATTTAGTGGGTAAAAAAAAAAAAAACTTAATTTTCTATAAGAACTTGATTTTTAAGCTTTTTGGGATAATTATAACTATTATATGGGCCAAAACCAACAATCACATGATAGTATTCAACTATCCAAAAGGGTCAATATAATTTACATGACCCTAAAAAAAATATTTTAAATTGATTACATAATTAATGAGAATATATTAAGGAGAGAGAGTCCAGACCCATGGCCCTTGGACAAAATTGTTCCCATAGTTTTCTCAAATTTCAACTGGGTTAAAAATGAAAAGATTATAAATTTAATTTATATTTTCCTATGAGTTTTAAACTTAAAAAACTATTAAAAAAAAAACAACTCATGAAACAATTTGTAAAAATAATAATTCAGAGCATGATTTAATTTCATTTGTTATGCCCCTTTTTAATATCCAAAACATTAAAAGATATGAAGTATACTAGCTTATTGAGAGACACTCTCATGTCTGTTAACCTGATTTCTTATTGTTTATAACGTGTATTCTACATGTTATAAATGTTCGTAACGATATTAATATGAACATGCTTTCAGCGTTTATAATTCTTAATATAATGGAAATTAAAAAATATTAAGTGCAAAATAGAGAATTAGAGATTAGTATATGGTATTCAATTTAAGGTGACTATATATAGAAAATATATAGATCAATAGATATTCAAGTTAAGGTGAGAGAAGTTGTTAATATGTTGGTGATTATATATAATTATATGTTTTTTTGTAGAAATTAAAAAACATCAAGGGCAAAACAGGAAAGTAAAATAACATCATGGTGGAAATTACACTATATTTTGACTTTATATATAATATAGATATAGATATATAAATATAGTATATATATATATATATACTATATATAAAGCCAAAACATGTGTGTAATTTCTATTTTCCTATTTTGCCATTACATTTTTTAATTTCTACAAAAAAATATCATATAATCCTAAGTATCTAGCACATTTTGTACCATTAGCCCATTAGATCTGAATGGCAGAGAAAAAGTAAAAATGTAGAGGAAATGACTCTTCCGCCGCTGTCGCCGCCCTCACTTTCTTCTCAGTCCCTCAAGCTTTTCATGAGATAATACATGTTCTTTGTCCCAACTAGGCCTATAAATATTCATGGTAGAATGGTGAATGATTCAAATTATTGTATAGTGTTAAAGAGAAATAATATTTTTTCCTTTTCTCTGCATTTCAGATGTATTATACCCAAAAAACATGTTTGACAAGGTGGTTGTGGATTGAGATGTTGTAACTAGAGGATGAGGCAGTGGGTGAGTTGATAGCGGCGACAATGTTGAAGAGGAAGAGTCATTTCTTCTACATTTTTACTTTTTCTTTATCATTCAGATCTGTTTTTTTGGAGAATGAGATTGTGGCGGTGGAAGTGAGAAAAGAAAACCCTAAAAATAGAAGATAAATGTGTGAGAGAGAAAGAAAGGGGAAGGTGTGGGTGTGAAGAAGAATAATGAAGATGATGACATGGGAAAATATGAACCGTGTGATAGGAAGTGTTGGTGATAGGAAGTGTGAAAAGACGAAAAGAGTCACCCACCAAAGTAGGGAGTGTCAAAAATACTTTGTAGGGCTTGTGTATTATATTTGACATTTTTTAGTGAATTCATACTTTTTAGCTCGGACCGGTCAGACTATATTAAAATCGGGCTCGGGTCGGGCTTACCCAGGTGGGTTCGGGCAAACTGTTTTTCTTATTTTAAAATTTTTTCTGGGACCTTTGGCTTGATAATAAGCTTAAGATGAAAATTATTTTACAAAATAACTTATAAAAAAATATATAATAGATGATAAATATTGTGTTATGAATTTTGAATAAAAAATAGAGTAATATTATAACATAAATATTTATAAATTACAATCATGTTATCAATTTAAGCATTATATTATTTTTCCTATTTTGCTTAATATCTTTTTAAGTACATTAGCAAAATAGTGTATCAAATTAAATGAGAATATTAAACCATATAGATTCTATTTTGATTTTCTTAATTGTATATTTAATTAGATATAATTTCTACAACAAAAACATAATAAATAAAATGACTTATACAACGAACTGAAAGACAACTTAATTGTTTACCATAGAGAACTCCACACAACCAAATTTAACATAACAATTCACAATGAAAGTATTAGTAAAGAACATACAAAAGATATTCATACACAAAGTTAAGAAATATTATGATGGTGATTATATTTCGACACATTGAATTCATTCTGAATTTGAGTCTATACTATCATTATTATAAACCAAAGTGATATTTTTTTTTACAGTATCTATTTATTATATTGAAGAATTATATTTTGTTAGAGATTGAGAGTCTAGTAGAAATAAAATATTTAATAAATGAGTTATGTTATAAATCATTTACGTAGACTTGATATCATGTCTTAACTCAAACACAGAACATTATATTTATAAGTTTGGTTGCATTGAGTATAACAATTGTGTTAAAAAAGTTATGCATTAATATCAAATGATATATATATATATTAAATACGTTAAAATTAAAATATTTTTTTTAATATTATGAGAGCCGGCTCACCACAACTCGCAACCCGCTTAGGGTGGGTTTGAGCTACATTTTGAGATGCATAAATTGTATCTGAGTTTTTTAGCCCGATCCGGTTTAACCCAAACTCGTCCGAGTAATCCGTTTTGACACCTCTAGTATAGAGAAGCATACATGGGGTGGAGGAAAACACTCGTTTAAGTTTGTGTATGAAAAAAAATGATATTGGAAGAGCTGGCAGTTGATTTTAAATACGTTTTCCTTTCATTAGTTAATTATAGTTGATTTTATTTTATTTTGAATAATTATAAACCCTTCTACAAGAAAGTATATAATCTTTTTATATTCTAGATGTTGAATGCATTTACTTCTCTTTAATATTTTATTTAGAATTAGGATAATATGGTAAGAAGATTTAACAAAACACTTCATTTTTTAAAACTTATAATCTGATTATGTCACTATATTTTAAAATGACGTGTACCTTCTATTTTTCTTCAATGAATATTATCTAAGTCAATGCATAAGAATATGTCTATGATTATGTTGTTTTTGGCTATCATCAAAACTCGGTTGTCGCTTTTGACTAAGTCCCCATTGAGAAGTGATTATACATATTCCCTTAAAAAGTTATGGTATGATAAGTTACACCCGATTAGATTATGATTAAGTCATTATTTATAAAACTTAGATAATTTTTCCATGTATTAGTTTTTGGGTTGAATTAGATCTACTCATTCTAATATGATATTAGAGACTAATTGTCATGATAGACTACAAATGTCTGAACCTTCAAATTTCACCTTCTAGATTTTCAGTCCTAAGCTTATACAACCTTCCATATTCTTACATTGAATGAGAATATGACAAGATCTTTGTTTATAAGGCTTAGACAATTATGAATTAGCTTTTAAGATTAATTAGGTGAAGCCATTTTAATAACTTTGCATATAATAAGCATTATGATGTGGAGGATAATGGCAACTTACTTGGGAAACTATCTTCAAAATTTCATTAGAAGCAAGTCCCTTGCTTGTTTCCTCAAGATACAACATAAGTGGTCCATTTCATTTTTTTTATTTATATAAAACTAGTCTTTGGACCAAGTAAGTCTTTATTTCTTGGAAGCAAGTAGTGGTCACCAACACTTAGTTTAATTAATAGTATCAAATCTAAAATGATTTAAAATTTATGTAGTTTAATTCTTCATCAAATTCTCAACTTATACACTAAGATATCTCTTATCACCATATCTTAAAATAGAGCCTAATAAATTAACGAAAATAAAGGTCATATCAATACACACCACTTTCTCTCAATACCCCATTTTACTCCTACCATCAAAACTTCTAAAACCAAAAGTTTCATGTCAAATGGAAGATCTACAATCATTGGTGATTGACACAAACATCATGGGAAAAAGTGAAGATCATGATGAACACCTATTACAAAGTGGTTTGTTAAAGACAAGTTTTTGGGACATGTGTGACACTTATTATGAGTTTCAAACCGAGGCAGGAAAATCAGTTGATCCAAGAACTCTAAGGCTTCTAGAGTTTTTCAGGGAACTTTATTATAGAAAGATAGAAACTTTCAAGAAAATGGTTCCTGATGATGGGATTCATGAAGAGTTTGTTGAGTTGTTCAGGAGAATAAGCTCTTTGATGAAATTGGCTAAGTCAAAAAGTGGGACAAGAACAATTCAGAGGAGTTTGAGTGTTGGATCAGAATTGAAGCTAGACAGGTTTAAGGTGAAGACAGTTAATGCAGGTGGCGGCAGCGGCACCGGCGGTGGTGGTAATGGTCAAGGAGATAAGGGTAAGGGTAAGGTTGCGAACACCAAATAAACTATAGATAAATTTAAACAATGTTTTTACTTTCAATGCAAAAGAAATTATTAAACATAAAGATGACATATATGTTTATTGATTTTTTTATTAATACTATTTGTATAACAGATTGTACATTGAGATTATTTGTATACATTTGTTTATTTTATTCTTTCTCCTTTCTACATTAATACTATTTTCTATGATCTTTAAGAAAATTCACCATCGAGAGGATTTTTAATAAAAAACTCATTATAGATAGGATGAGGATAAACTAGGTTATACAAGAAGGGCCTATAACCTAGTCTATATTCAACCTAATTTAAAATTGGTTTAAGTTACAAAAGCTTTATTAAAATTTATTTAAGTAAATATATTAGGTTATAGGTTATTGAAAAAGCATTTTGAGCTCAATTACTCGACATATTTAATAAATATAATTGTTTTTATTATTGTTAGTATTCATATTTGTTAGCTTATTTAAATTTTTGCCTTACTAGTTTTATTTATATGCGTTCTAGCATAAGGGAATATTACAAAGTAATCATTTAAATAAGCTTATAAATCTTGCTGTTTTTTAAATGTTAGAATCATACCTTTAAAAAGTTATAACAATATACTTACAAGCTTAAACCTTATGTTTAGGATACATGTCACACCTTTTAAAGTAAGTCTTACTACAAAGACTCAACCTATTTTCAACCATAATGCAAATTTGTTTATAAGTTTTATTGAATAATAGGTCTTTAAATAGGTTCGTGCGATGATGAATTTCTCGACCGTTTGCTTGGGATTAGTTAGTTATATTTTTTTATGGAGTGAATAAAAGGAAATAGTGTGATACAACATCAAGGAAAGAAAGGATGGTAAATAAGGTTGGATGACCAAACTAGTAAGGTCGAAAAATATGAGAGATTAAAATAAGTATTTACTCTTTAAAAAATATTATAAGATTATAAACTTACATTAATTTTCAATGACAACAACAAAAAAGTAGAAATAGGCAAAGCTTTTAAAAGGGCAAATGAAAAAGATAAGGATGTAAGGTGGCAAATTGATTATGCTTGGGAATAAGAATAAAAACTACCAATAATGAAGGTCGTGATACTTTCGGAGTTTGATTAGATACACCATATACAAGACTGGAAAAATGTACAATGACATGAAAAACATGAGTTTTAAAATATATTGTGTTAAAATGGGAATAGCCATGCAAGAAGCTTTATTGATTAACAAGAAATATGAGAAATATATGAATGAGAAATAAAATGATAGAGAATGAAAACTCTATATGAAATGGAAATCTTTCTCATTATTGAATTGAATGAATGAGATACAAAGTAAGGGATATGTCCCTTTATATAGTATGTTGCTTAACAAGCAACTATCAGTCAATCGATTAACTATACTATTAATCGATAACTCTTAAAGAATTAAATGTAAGAAATTTTGGGTCATACATATAATGTTTAAATGTGTTTAGGGTCATTATTATTAGTAGCCAAATTAAAGTGATATATTTCAAGTAAGGTTTATGGTTATAGACATAATTATCATGAAAATTATTGTGTAGATGCCTAAAATCTTATTTCTATTTTTATGATTGGCAAAATTGGAAGTAAGAAAATCAAGTGGCATCACCCTTCATGGAAGAGTATGTGCTTCTTTTAAATAAGGGGTTATAATCCTCAATTGTATACCATAAGATGCACACAACAAGCACACTAAAATCATCTATATTCTCTTCATCCCATTAGAGGAGAAACTAAAGCTAAAGATGGTCTACAATTAGAAGACCAACAAACTTACATGTTCTACTATGAACATATTTGCATACACGACAAAGGACATGGAAGAATGATAATATAAAATTTATTCTTCATATTCTATATAAATATATGAAGGTACGCTTCCGCTAAAGTTCTAGTTTTATATTTATTCTTGATGATTTGACATGAAAAATCTTGACTGTATATGTTGATGATATTGTTCATCATATTTATTATGTATATTTAAGTATGTATAAAGTTCTTCCATCATTATATAAAGTCTATATTAAATATTTTACTAAAAT